CTGTGGAATGTTCCCCGTCATCTCATAGTCCTGCAGGTGCCTAGGACTGGTGTGAGGCTGGCTGGCCTGTCATTCCTTAATGTTCTTCCCTGTCCTCCTTGAAGTTGTGGTATTTGCCCTCTCCAGTGATGAGTAACCTTCCCTGGTCACCATGACCCTGACAGAGGTTTGGCTCCCACTGATCTCGGCCCTGGATGTCTCCTCTCTGGTTCCATGGACTTGCATGTGCCCAGTTAGCTAAAGGATTTAGCTTATCTGTTCCATAACTGTGCTTTCATTTGCAAGTGTGATGCTGCATTTCCAGAGACTCGGAGTGCTCGTTGCCTTTTCTCCGAGCCAGTAGGATGTGAGCAAGCTCTACTCCAACAGCAGTAAATCATCCAATATAATAAATTCCTGTCAGTAACCAGCACCATGAGATCAGAAACAACATTCAGCAGTTCAGATGTGCAGCGAATGAGCATATAGATCTGTAAAAAAGGAGAGGGTATGAGTAAGGGTTGTATTTCTCATAAGGAAGATGGAAATACATCTCTCACAGATGTGTTATACTTGAGTACTTTCATGGGACTAGTTTAGTGTGGATTTCTTTTTCTTTTTTTTTTTTTCTTTTTGCCTGTTGGCCTTTCCCAAGTAACAGCACACCAGAGCAAGTATGAAACTGTACTTTTGAGTTTCTCTTGCCTAAACTATTGGATATAGCTTCAGAATGGTTGGCAAGGCAAATAATGATGAATTGAAAGAAATAAGATCCAGTCTTAGTAAAAGCTTTACAGATGATGGAATATAAGTAACAGCACAGATTATTCCTAAGGGTCCTGAATGCTTTTCTTCTTTAGAAGAGAGAAATTTTGAAGTTTACTAAGTAACACCAGTAAGCCTTTCAGCAATTTTAGTATCTCTGGAGGCTACAATTTGCTCTGAACCTTTGGTTGAGACACAAATGCTCTTTTAAAATTTTTTTATTACTTTTTGGTAACAATGCTATTCTATTTAGAAGATCATATACAAGAATATTTTTAAAATTAGATCATGCCGTAGGACAAATTTAAGCTGAGACCTGCTGTTCTGTTGAATATCTCTGGGTGCTGTTCTCGTTTGTGTGCTGACTTCTGGTCCTGTTGAGCGGCACCAGTCCCTGTTGCTTTGAGGATCGGCAAGCTCAACACCTTTTTAAAATTGCTGGTATGATAAAGATAATGGATGTTCCTTTGCCTCCTGAGAAGGATCACTTATAAATGGGATTTTTCTAGATTAGAATTTTGTGTCATCCTTCCCTTTGAAAAGTTAGTGACTGTATTATTATTTTCCATGAAAAAAGGTAGTTCTTTCACATTTGCCCCCGAGTAAGCGCAAGTCCAAGGCAGTTGCCGCGGAGCAGCTGACATGCTGTCAGATCGCGTCACCGTCGAGCGTGTGGCACCTCGCGTGTCCGTATGCGCTGCCACGTTGCGTTGAGGGGTCCGTGATGTCTTTGCTCTAAATCATTGCACAGTAACATGTTGAAGTACACACCAGGCTGTTATTTCTTCTGGCCGTTCTTTTCTTGAGCTGCCAAGCAACATCAGCATCACCAGAGTTGGCTGCAGTGGTATCTTTTGAGATGGATCTCAACCTGCAGTTGAGGTTGAGGGCTTTCCCAGCGCTTCCCCACAAGAGAGACCTCAGGATGTGGCCGTCCCGGAGCTGCTGGTGGTTATAAGGTCCCGCTGCAGCACCCTGCTTGTCCCAGCACCTCTCTGCTTCCCGGTCGGTGCTTCACGTGTTCACCTCTCCAAGACTGGACGAGGTTTCAGTGACAGGAAGACCCAAGTTCCTTCCTGGTTGGACTAAGAAGTCAGTGAGAAGGGGGCGAGTTTTGAATCAGAGAAACTATCAAAAGTTGGATAAAAAACAGAGGATCTGGATGTGGGAATTCAAATTTGTGAAGACAGCATGTGTTTGTGCTCTAGCTTTAGGCAGAAATAGTCAGGGAGCTGTGAACATTTTCACTGTCAGACTGAATGCTGGAAGAGGAACTTCGACTCTGAGGTGTAGACTGAAAAAGAAGCTGTCTGTAATATCCACTTTTTAAATAAGGTTTACAGTGTTCTGTGTATCCCTAGATTGTAAAGCAAATGAGGAATTTATTTACTTTTGTTTCTGTTGAGTGATTTCCAAGTAATAAGCATATAGGAAGTTTTATGGAAACTGAAAGATAAGGCAAGTGCTTGAACCCAGGGGGCCAGGATGAGGTTTCATACAAGACTTTTGACTGTTTCATTGCCAGTACCCAGGAGACTGATTTGGATATGAGGTGTCACTGAGAATCTGTGTCTGTTCTCCGCAGAGATCCCCTCTCCCCAGACTGAAAGCTGCAGTTACCGCAGCCGAGGTGTGGAGCAAGCGAATAGTGGCCAGTCTGTGCCCATGGCGTTTTATTTCAGTTAAGTGCACAGGTATTAAAGTAGCAGAATGAAAAATCTGGCTGAAGGTTTCAGGTGTGCTGGAACTTTGTAGTTCCCCAGGAATTGTCCGTGTCTGCTGCTTCCAAAGCATAAAGAGCTCCGACTGACTCATTAGACGCTTCCTATTTACTGTGGTGCTAACTGAAGCACTGGTGACACTGTTTTAAAGTGGCAACTGCTTTAATAACCTGGTGCATTATATTGTTTATGATAATCTGCTTTCACATATTTATGGCATGAAATGTACAGTCTCATAGCGGGCATCTCCTACAGTAGGATTCTTCTATCACCTTTCCTATTGGAACGATGACTTCAAGAGCGCTGTAGTAATTCTCAAGTTCATGTAATTTGTAAATTTAATGCCCATTTAAGCTTGTCAAGTTAAGCTGAAGCTACTGAATGCGCCTTTATTTTGATGGCAATAGAAGAGTCTGATAACTATTTATGGTCTCTCTTCCCCCCCCGCCCCGAGTGGTTATTTTTTTCAACTAAAGTCACTTTTTGTAAAAGTTCCTACATAATTGTTTTTTATATATATAGCTGAGTGTTTTTTACAGGATATTTGAAATTAAAAATAAATTATGTTGCATTCATTTTGATTTAGAATGCTGAACAGGAGCTAAAGCAAAAATTAGATAATTGTAGAACGTTATCTTAAAAAGGGGAAAAGTATATATATCAGAGTAACATTAAAATGCACAATGCTTATTCTTTTACTTTACCCTATTTTATTAACTATGCCATTTTACATAAAGCCAATGTAGAAGCAGCTAACCTGGATACGTGTTATAACTTTTTTTTTTCTTTCTTCATCCAAAGAAGCTGCAGTATTTGTGACTGCCCCGTGTGTGGGCAGGCAGGCTTAGTATTTCTTTGCAGATTGCGGTTTGCGCCACTGTCAAGAAAGAAACAAATTGCTGGTAGGTTTAGTCTGAAGATAATTGAGCTTGGACTGTAACAAATCCTTCGTATTAATTAATGGGAATAATTTGTTTTGACAAGACCCTTCCCACTCCTCACCCCCAATTAGCTTGCAATTTATAACTGGAGCAGAACAGGGATTGACTTAAAACTTAGACACTAAAACACTTTAATGTAATTAAAATAAATGAGGGCTGCATTCAGCATTCCTCGTTTTAATTATGCAGGAGATAAATTTGCCTGTCAATTCGTGTTCGTTTGAGCACCATGTGTGTCAGTTCAGGCACTGTGTGTGTGTATTACAGATTTTAAGTAGAAACACTGTGCCCAGCCAAACTTACATAATTCCCCTAAATTTCGTGAGTAGATGTAAGTTACATTTGTGATTTACAGAGTAAATAATACTTCCAATGTAATGATGACACAGCTTTGCTTTATCTCTCTGTGTGTGTGTGTTGGCAAGTGAAAACTATGTTGAAAATAGAAGTTTTCTATTTCTAATTTAGCTATTTTGATTTAATAAAGTATGTATATGAAGTCTCAGTTGCAGTGTTTGATTTTAAATTAATACTCAATCCATGTTCTTGAGAAATCTTCTTAGCATAGTGCCGTGCTGGAAGGAATGTGTTGCTACATGATGGAATTTTAGGTACCCTCACTTTGATATTTCTGCTGCTGCAGAGTGTCTGCTTCTCCAATCTGCTTTCTGTAGTGCCAGCCTACTGCTTTAAAGAGGGAGGTAAAATCAGGGAAAAGTGGCAAGCCTTAGTACAGAAAAATATGCAGGAATGTGAAACGGAATCAAGAGGTGATAGTGTCTTCTGAAATTAGGCAAAATAATGTCTTCCAGTAGCCTCCCCCTGCGGGACAGGCAGCGGGGGCTGCTCCTGGTAGCCCCAGTGGTTCTTATGGGGCCAGGACAGGAACTGCTGCGGTGGCTGGGATGGCAGAACAGGAATTTGCAAATGGAAACGAGGGTACAAAATCCAGGAGAAAATGGGCCACATTCTGATATCTGTTTTTTAACAGAGGCTTTTGTGCTAGAAATGAAAATACACCGAGGTCACTGGAAGAAATGTATTGAAATTCAAATGTTGAGCTTTTTCAGCTAGTAACTGAATTTTACTGTTTAAAGATTAAGTGATGATACCGATACTGGTAATGATGATATAATTACTGGTATTCATGAGGGCTTCAGCGTTTTGACGTGGTAAATGTGGCAGATGATACATAAATTATAATTGTTTTACTGCTTAATGCCGTATAAAGACTGCTTATCACTTCTTGTTTTCTCGTGATTTTTTCCTTGAATTTGTAGGATTGGAAAGCAATATAATGATTTTTTGTTGGTTTATTTGTTTTTTAGAAATTCTAAAGCACAGGATAAATGTCTTTCTCTAGAATCCTGAAAACTAATTTCAGAAAATACAGAGACTTCACTGCTGCATTGCCCGGCTTATCAAAAACACTATACAAGTGTCTTTGCTCTGCAGTTATGCATTTTCACTTACAACAAGTGTATTTAATTCCTTTCAGGTAATGATATATGAAATGGCACCTAAACTGATTGTTCTCTTCTTTTACAGGCTGCTGAATCAGGAATAATAAAAGTGAAAACAATAGCTGCACGAAATACGGATATCTTGGCAGGTAATAGCTGCAATATCAATGCAGTGGGAAAAGGAAGTCTGGGTTTCAGATCAAAACTTTTAAAGTGTTTTGGGTTTGCATAATAATTCTGCAGACTTTTTAGTGTACATCGTGTCAATGATGCTTTACTTTTTGGCACCTAGCAAAAGATTGAGTAATTCAGAGAAGTCCTTTACACTCTTCCTGTTTCATCTTATGTTGTGCTGATGCTGAGGAAGGTCTGCTTTTTCAGTGGTGACTCTTCTAAAATATTCATCTGCATAGGAAAATAAAATGAAATTCTTAGGCTGCAGATTGGCACCGTGCTGTTCTCTGGCACATTCACGAGCGCTGTCGCCTCGTGCTCTGTGCGGAGATGTGCAGCGTGATCCCCATCTGTGTGTTTAGCATGAGAGTTTTGCCTGGGGAGACCTGGAGCTGGCAGGCAAAAATACAGCTCAGGCTGAGACGAGGTCGTTTAGTTTAAGTTGTGCCATTGCCTTGAGGGACAAGAGATCTCTTGTGAGTTGCAGTTTTGTAACCACTTAATAGAGTATCTTAACTTTCTTCAGCTTTATTAAATTGCACGTAAAGTGAAGGCCTTTTGCCAGTTGCTGTTTGAGCCCTTGGCCAAATTTGAATGTCCCTGCATTAATATGTGAGTGTCTGCGCTGACCACACTCCTTATGATGCTAAATTACTGAAAAATGTCCAAATTAAACTTAATGTCAGTCTGTTTCATGTTTATTTGTACATTAAATATTGTTAAGGAGGCACTTACTAGAATTATTTGACATAGCAGCCCCACCCCTCAGTATTTCACTTTAATACCTCTTTTTTATTTGTTTATTTTCTTTGTTTTTTACTGCTGTCATGAATGCTGACATAAGTGGGAAAACTATGCCAGGTAATGTCAGCTATGCATCAAAATACACAAATATACTAGACCAATCTCCAGTAAACCACTTGGGAACCTAGCAATGTTCTTTGGAATGTTACTGTTTAAAGATCTTTATTTATTATTTTTTAATCTTCATTGTGAAGTGAGGAGATACTGTATCAATAATAAAGCTGAAAAAGGCTACTCTGATTGCAAGCTAGTGAAGCAAATACATCTCCTAGATGATTTGGAGCAATTAATAGATTTACTAAAAAAAATTCAAAAATGTATTTTGGTAAAGATATCGTTTTTCTTTATATTTTGATGAAAACACTGTCATTTCACAGAAATGGAAGAAAACTACTCTGTGATTTTTTTTTTAAACAAACTGAACTGCCTTTTTTTTTTTTTGTTAAGCATTGCATTACATAAGACTATGATTATTTGGAAATAGGTGCAGTCTTAAAATAAAATTACTTATGTTTGTTTGTAAGATCTGGTGTGTTGTGTTTAACTTACCAGAACTCTTTGAGGTCATTGATCTGGCTTCTTTCTTTGTCTTCCAAAAGTCACATTGATCCATTTCAAAATTTTCACTCTTGGCAGTCTGTGTGCTTTTACATTTATTTATTAAGATTTTAGATACTTCTAAAAGAAGTTGGCTTGGAGTTCAGATCACAGCAGATATATTCCACAAGGCTCTATGATGTGCAGTTTTTAGGTAGTCCTTACTTTTATAAAAGAAGCTATTTTAAAATAAATATGATATTAATAACTTCATTAATGGCATGAAATAGTCTTTTTTTTAGGAAAAAAACTTGTGATGTGGTTCATTGCAAAAGATTTATTTTTTAGTATAGTTTCCTTTTCTATGTAAATTTGGTATAGTAAATGGAAGCAGAGTTTGATATAAGCAAATTCTGTGTGTAGTGTGAAGCTAATACACTAGTCAGTAGTAGAGTTTACTAAGATGTAAACTATTCGGGTTAATAATGAAAATGCTAGTATAGATTCTATTGAGGGATTTTTTTTAATTATTACAGGTAAGATACTGTTAAAAGTTTATTTTTTTCTTTATCCTGTTATTGAAAGATACTTAAATTACATGTGTTAAGTGGGATCTTACTTCTGCTTTTAGATTTATTAGCCAATTTTTATTTTATCATTTTAATGAGAAAATCAAGGAATTCTTCATTGAAGAATAATGATGGTGGATACAGTTTAAAAAGGGGGATTATTTGCATGGTAGTTTAAAAAGAAAAATAAAGCGGGACAGAGGGAATTGAGAGAGACCTGTAGCATAACGTATAATGGGTAGTGACTTGTATTCAGTCTGATTAATGAAGACATTTTTGCTTTTGGATTAGGAATTTGGGGCTCATTGAGCTTCTGTCAACCTATCTCCTGCCCTGTACAGTTCCTGAGGAGGCTCAGATAGCTATAGCCTCGGTTAATACAGTAATATAACAGACTCTGTGCTAATAACTGTTACCCTATGTGTTAAGAACTATTACCCTATAAAAATTGACATTCATAACCTGCTTTAGCTTATTCTTTTCGAAGGAAGTAGCTCATGGTATGCTACTGCTTCAATTTAAAATGTCATTAAAATTTTTTGTAACTCTTAATTTCATGTTTGTTTTATTGTATTTCTTCAAATCAGTTGTTAATGGTTCTTAATAATAACCCTGCTTGAGAGCTAAACTTGCTCAAGTTGGTCTATAGACAAAATAAAATTGAAGTTGATGCTTGTAGTTTTATGTGAGAACGTTTTGTTTGTCTGTGATAAGAGTTATGCTCTAGAAGGGTGTGTAAAACACTTTCAAGAATGTATTTTCTGTTTTTACACATAGACTAAAATATATTTTATAAGATATTTAGTGTGCAAAAACACTATGAGTTTTCAACCTTGAAGAAACTTGTATTACCTGAAAAGGGAACAAACGCTAAAATCTTACAACTTTGCATGAATTGACAATCAAAAAAGCCCTCAGTTGGTTTGAATCGTGCTTTTCTTTGATCTTGTAGAAACATTTTGTTCTTTTCTAATTCTGTAATGTTTAGCTCAGATGTCTCGGATTGCTTTTACGGAGAAAAGTTTAAAATATCACTGTGGTTCGTTGAACTAATTGTGAAGTTTTTTCTTTTTAAAAAAAAAAAAAAACAAATTTGTGAAACTTGTCACTTCTTGTGAAACGCTTTCATCTTAATAAGCTGCCATTTCTCTCTCAAAAAAAAAAAATCACAACCTGGTGTATGGACCCAGGATTCACACAGTCCAGCTCCTTTCTCCTCCGAGTTTGGTGGTGGCGTTTAGCTTGGCTCGTGCCCCGTGTGCCATAGGCTTTGGCAGGGCTCTTCATGCTACACTTTGTGTCACTTCTGACTTCAGAGGTGGAGTAGAGCAGAAGAAAAGGATGCCCATCTAAGACTGGGAATCTCTAAGGCTAGAGAGAGTTTTAAGAAGTCACTCAGTGAAAAGCAGGTCATTGAGAAAGGAAGGAGTGTGCAAGGGAGAAGGTGTTTTGGGTTAGAGACTTATTTGAATCGATTATTGAGGTGAGCTCTGGCAATCTTTTACCTTTTTTCAGTCATTTTTTCTTTTTGGTATGAAAATAATTCCCAAATTTCCAAGACTGGAGATTGCTTTTTTATTGTGTTTAATGGATATGATTAACAAATTTTACATTGTATTCTTCAAAGTATTGGAAATTGACTGCTTCCATATCTCTTTTCAAAAGCTTTGAAAGAAAACAGCTCAGAGGTAGTTCAGCCTTTTCTAATGGGTTGTGGAACGAAGGAACCAAAGATCACTCAGCTATGCCTAGCAGCAATACAAAGGCTCATGTCCCATGAAGTTGTCTCAGAGGTAAGATGAATGTTCTTAGATCTGTATTTTCCACGCTGAAATATTTATAAGTGAATAGCTTTTGTTTGGAGGCTGCTAAAATATAACAAACGTAGCCTGCAAGATTTTACTTTTTTCTACTTTTAGAAAAATAGTAATTTTAAAGAAAGGGTTTTGCGCATTCAGACAAAGTGTTGAGGAAAGAATAGTAACTTCTGTAGGGGAATATGTGACATTCACAACAACACTTTTAGTTTGCATGCTTTTGCTGCAGAAGTGGAACATATATGGTCTGTGATGCATTTATTGTATGTTAGTTCTGAAAAAAAAATAGTAATAATTTAAAAATACCTATAACGGAGACTCATTTCCTGCGATACTTTTTTCTGAAATGCCATGTGATCTGTTGTGATACTGCATATACAGCATGTTAAGAAACTTGTGAAAGTAATAGTATTAAAATGGGTCGTCAGTTGTGCTTACATAATGTAGAATTACAGTATTTTCTGTCATGAATGTATTTTGAGGAGTCTTTTTGCTGGATTTATTTTAATTACATGTTAAGAAATTTCTTAACTTCTAAAAAAAATCAGGGTTTAAAGTTGGAGGATGAGCTCTTAGAACTATTTAGAGAAACTTGTGATAATGAAATTAATTTTATGTTCAGAATATACTGTGATATAGAAAAACATTCAAATTCAGTTATATTTTGTTATAAAAGTGCATTTCCTACTTGTGTACACATGACATAGAAGTATTTAAGATCATAATTGTATGTGCAAAATATTTTATTTCGTAGGCTGCAGCAGGAAACATCATTAATATGCTTTGGCAACTGATGGAAAATAGCCTTGAAGAACTTAAGTTGCTGCAGACAGTTCTTGTACTTCTAACAACCAATACAGTTGTGCATGATGAAGCACTGTCCAAGGTAAGAATTTGTTAGTGTAACTCTAGGACTTATAATATCTAATGAGTATTTTAAATTAAAATGCTGGGTAATTACTTATCCTTCTGATATGCTGACTTTAGTTTTATGTCTGATTTCCAACTGAAGAAATCGGAGCGTATAGCGCAGTGCAAGCTTACATTAGACAAGCAAATGTTTGGAGAAGCTGCAGCCCACCAGAATTAGTGATTCTGTTTCCTAAGTAGGGTTACATGACCTCAGCATAATCTATACTCTGTTATATGCTCTTGTGTTTGTAGGTTTTTTTCCTTCATTCTCTAATGAATAGATGAAAGTCAATGGATTCTTAGTTTCAATAACTTTTTTTGTTCGATTGTCAGCCTTATTTCCCTTTCCTTTAGGAAGTTGTGAGAAAGCCTTAAATTCTGTAGTCTTTATAAACTGCTTAGCCTTGTATAGTGTCTTTTCATAAGAGTTTTTTGAGAGAGCAGAACCATAACATTTGATGAAGAAAATGTTAATACGTTAGGAAGTGGGTTTATCAGCTTCAGCTAGGTAGCAGGTATTCTCTATTCACTTGCAGCATTGCAGGTTTATTAAGTTTTAGTCTAGGCTCTGGAAAGAGGCAATCTGTTGAAGTTCCCCTTTTTTTCCTGCATATCCCCTATCTTTTCAAGGCTGTATGCTTCTCATCTTTTTCCTCATTTGCTCTCCTTTCCTGCCTCCAGGTACTCCTTTTGCCCCTGTTATTCTTGAGTTCTTGGTATCTACATCTTATTTTACCGTTTTTTAACACTTCCAAGCACCTCTTTTAGCATTCCTTATTTCTTTGTTCCTTTAAGAACATGAAGATTTTTCCTTTTGAACACCCCACACAAAGGCACATGTGCCCAGCAGTGACAAGTAACTGGGAAAGGTCTTTGCCAGCAGCCAGCACTTTGCTCCCCTCCTATAGGACAGAATAGTCTGTCTTAATATCCTGATCTGGAAGCATGCTCACGTGATGGAATTACTGGAAGATGTAATTGCTTTTGAGCACATTAAAAGCTAGATTTCTCTTTTTTACAAAAAAATACTGTCAATTTTGTCCAGATTTTGCCAGGGGGAAGAAAAGAAAAACACATCTCTGTCATTAAAGCAAATACCTTATTAGAGTTTCCTAGTGAACAACGTGTAAGCCTTAGCATGGGTAAAATGACGAAGTGTTTGTTTTCTACCTGAGATAAG